TGGATACAGGACTCCAGGTGAGGTCTCTCACCAGGGTAGAGAAGAGCAGCAGGATCACCTCTCTCCATCTGCTGGCCACGCTTCTTTTGATGCAGCCCAGGATTTGATTTGCCTTCTGGGCTGCTGCTGCACATTGGTGGCTCATGTCCAGCTTCTCATTTACTAGTACCCCCAAGTCTTTCTCCAGTGGACTGCTTTCTAACGTCTCCTCTCCCAGCCTGTATTGGTAATGTTGGTTGCCCCTGCCCAGATGCAGGACCCCGCACTTTGTCTTGTTGAACCTCATGAGGTTCACCTGAGCCCACCTCTCCAGCCTGTCCAAGTCCCTCTGGATATGTTCAGATATAAGCCTTCTGATTACTTGTGTAACCCAAATGACTCTGCAGATTTGTGTGCATTCCAGCTGATTGAGGGTCCAACATCAGTTCTCATCCTGGTCCCTAAAGTGAGCAGTAGACTATTCTGGGGGGGAAATTCCTTTTAATTTTAAATAGGGCCTTAGCCCACAAATGGTCTCACTTTGCTTCTGATGGATATTAAGTCTGCAAAATCCTTCTGCTGATTCTTGAGCTCTACTTGAGGACAAATGCCATTTGCTTAGATGAAGGGAAGACAAAAAGCAGGCCATGTGCAAATATATAATTTTTTTCTTCTTGTTTTTGGGTAACATATCCCCTTAATCATTGCTTAATCAATTAAGAATTGACAGAATCTGGGTAATTCTGTATTTTTGCTTTGGCATTATTTCTCTATTACATTGGAGGCTCTCAGCAGTAAGGTAAATTTATTGATGTTGAATCCCAGCATACCTTGTATAGTTTAAGACTTCACCTAACCATTACTTTTAAGCCCTTTCATAGAACTGGAAAATTTCTAAGCCAGGGATCAACTTAGCCAGCAGTTTAATTTTATAAGAACGTAGCACTTATTCTGAAGATTTTTCTGGAAAAGGGCTGTAGGAAGGGTAATGTGCACTTCTCCTGTAACATGTAGGTGGTAGGTGGCCTTGTTGGAAGTCACAGCGAGGGCCGGATGGTGCCCATATGTTCTTCTTCAGGGCTTGTGCTGATTCTCCTCACCACAGGTAAAGGCTTGGGGATATACAATGTGAGAGTTCGGTTCCCCCAGTAACTGCTGGTCACTGTGGTCCACATGGCCTCCTTGGAGAATCATGTGGAGCTGCTGCTGGATTTTCACTGTGGTCTGCTCTGAGAGCATTTCATACACGTGGGTCCCCCTTTGTCATCTGCAAGAAAGCACTTCTGGCTCCATAGGGAAATAAAGATGTTTCTTCAGTATGCCATTGCCAGCCTGGATAAATTGACAATTCTGTTTTAATATATTGCTTAGATCTATACCCTTCTTAAAATATTCTTGGTGCTTTCTGAGGGGGGAGTTGCTTTCCTCTTACCTCTGCCTGTCTCTCCCACATATATGCAAAGTATGCAAAATTTTTAATGAGACATATTTGTTATATTGTTGGTTTGCTCGTTTACTCTCAATGGGAATTTTTGAGGATTGGAACATGAAATTTTAAGAAATTTGTTATCTATGCCAAATAGACTATACCCAGGGATACTATCCTTTCCCTTCCCTTAAGGACGCATCACCGTTGATGCCATGTGTAAAAGACACTTAATTGTGTGTTTATGCCCCTGTAAGATAAGGATCCAAGTGACTTCTGAGAGTGACGTGGAGAAATGTCCTCTGTGTTCTCTTTTTGGAAATACCCAGAAGTTATGAGAAAACCTTGAATGGCAAATCTGAATTCATTATTTGGCCTTGGCTTTCAGCATTTGGAAATTAACTTCCTGTAAAATGCATTTCTTTGTTCTCTGACATCTCTTTGTTATTGAGCAACAGGTTAGCTGCAATTATCAGCACACTGTATAAGGAAGCAGCATGATGTTGTTACAGGAATTATTAATAACAGAAAAACCGATTTCTCTCACTGCCTTAATGCCAGGGGGAATGAGGAAAATTTATTTTAATATGAAGCTATGCAGATTGTAACTGGCTACTAATATCTACTTTCTGTAGACTAGGCTAAAGTCTGAGCTGCTTATATATTTCTGATTTAGCTCCATCAAATTCTTACCAAGTCTTTGGCTTTATGTGCTTATCCTCGATTTCAAAAAATAAGGCTAGCACACGTAGCTGCTGTGTGCACACTAGTGTACAAGTGCACACACAGCACACTGACTTCTCTGGTCACTGCAGAGCAGGTCGATGGTGGCACGCCTCATGTTCTTCTCACGCGCGCTGGGCTTTTGCACAGGTCAGCAGTTAGGACAGGAAAGCCGAGGGACCCACAGCACAGCGGATCCTGGGAGCCAGGGCAAGCAGGGGACTGGCCAGGCTGCACCACAGCCTCCTGCCAGGGCCTGCAGCTTCCTTCACCTTCAGCCAGATAAATAATTGCCGTGCCACACCGTGCCTGTCAGTCAGCACTGGGACTGGGAGACGCACACTGAGGAAGTGAAGTCAAATTACCCACGTAGGTTTTGCTGCACAACTGCTGCTGCCTCTCCCTCCCTGACGCCCCTCCGCGCACAGCACCTGGCTGATGGGACACAGAACACTGGTGCTGGGGCCTCCTCACCTGGTTCCCTTTCTAACCCATGTCCCTCCGTCTCCCTCACCTCCTCATTTTTGGCACTGGGCCGCCTGGAGGGCATCCTTGATGCGGTGGTGATGGGACTCTGAGATATCATTATGCATGGTTATTATGCATATTATTATTATCATTATTATGGTTATTATGCATGTGAGACCCCAGGGACCCTCTTGATGCTGCAGCCCAAAACCAGCCTGGCAGGGCACTGCTGACAGCCTGGGGTGCAGGTAGAACAAACACCCCAGGGAGACACACAAGGAAAGTGGTTTTCCCTTTCCAAAAATCCCAAGTAGCCCCTGATGCTCAGCAGAACAGGAGAGCCCTTCCCGCCCTCTGTGCCAGCACTGGGTGTGTGCAGCACTAATGATTTTTGGTCCTTGAATGCACCCCTTGATGCCACAGGAACATCAGAACTCCCTTTCATCACCTTTAGAGCTCCTGCAGGCTGTTTCTAAGCCTAACCCCATTTTGGCCTTGGTTTTGCTCCTTCAGCAACAGCAGCAAGACACGCACTACATATCCAGAAAGATCTTCTATTAGCAGCAATGCATGGATGCATGTTTGCTTTTCAGATGGCCGTGCTGAGCTGGGGCATTTCATACCTCATTGATGAGAAACTGATGAGTTTTTAAATTTTCTACTGCACTACAGGATACAAGGCCAACTTTCTCCCTGTCTTTCTTCTGCTATGAACCCTGAAAGAAGTGAAGTCAGAAGAGTGACCTCAGATTTATATCGCTGATGACAAGAACAACATCTGCTTGAAAGTAAGATAAAAAAAAAACTTGCACTATAAGGATAAATAGGCTCCTTCCATAAAACTCTCAACATAAAATAAATTGGGTTGTAAAGTAGGTATTGATAAATCAGCAAGGCATCTTTCAAGTAACAAAAAGCTTACAAAATCACAGCACTCACCCCTTTGCTTCCTTGTTATTCTGTATTATTTTCTTACTGTAAATCATTGCCACTGAGTTTAATAGGGCTTGCACAATATTGTAAGTATCCTTTAAGTAATATAATTGCTATTTGTGATCCCACTCATGCTTGAAAGTTTTTTTAACTGGAGGGAAGATCTTCCATTTTCCAAGTGACTCATTTGCAATGCAAAACAGAAAAAAACCACCCCTGTTTGTAATGAGATTGAATAAAATGGGAAGGTATTTTTCTATGACATGCAGCATATCAGTTGGGCATTTTGAGTAGCTGTTTTAAGATTCAGCACCGTATGGCTCATGGAAACTGGGTCTGTCAATCACAGCTGGTCCAGAGTTGCTGGAGCAGGAATGTTTTTAGCCCTTGTTTTTCAAATAAACCCTTATATTGCACATTTACATAACTGAAGTAGCTTTTTTTCCCTCAGAAAAAATACCGCCTTAGGTAAGTGCGAGGTGCAGCAGAGACTGGCATGGTTCAAGCTGTTGTGGTGCAAGCTCTACACCCCCTGGCATGGAGAACTCCAGTCCAACACACAGAACATGGGGCTGCAGGGTTTCTCACCCTCTTTAGACCCTCTGCTCATGCTAGTGCCACCTGAGAGACAAATTTTGATCACTCATCCAAGACCGCTGTAAGCAGCAGGCACTGTCGAAGCACTGTGGCACTGTCATGCAACTAAACCAGCATCACTGCAGACCTGACCTGAGAAGGGATAGTCGCTTCTGCTGTGTTTGTCCAGCATTTCACTAACCCTTACACCCCCTCCCCAACAGACTAGATGCTGTACAAGTTTACCCTGTGGACTAGTGTTTCCAAATGAGCCAAAGGTGAGAGGTTTCCCCTGCGGTGGCAGAGGAGCGAGAGAAGAGAAAGTGACACTGACTATTGGTCCACTTACATCATTGGGAATAGTAAGCTCATGGGAACTGGTTGGAGTAGTGGCATCCAGTCCTATTCAGGGGACAGAGGGAAAATGTTACGCTGGTTGTTTGCAAGAAGAACAAATGATATTTTAAAGAAGGAAACATACAGAAAGAAGGAATAAAAAAATAAAAAAAAAAAGAGAGGCAAAGAAAAATAGAGAACTGCTAATGAAACAAAAGAAAGCAAGAGATGCAAAACTCAGAGGACTGGATTAATTCAAAATGAGTCTTATTTTAATTAACCTTTAACCCACCAAAGCAACAAATGTCACATGAGATTCCACAGGATCATAAAAGCTTCTAGAAAATGAAGGGCTTTCCCTAAACATTGTCTTTGAAGTTGGTTCTAAATGCATCAGTTGAGAAAGTAATGAATGGCTGAAATTTGACCTGTCTACCAGGAGTTCTACAATATGGAAAATGAAACTGGAAGTCAAACGAACAATTAGCAAAACAAAAGGCATAGATACGAAAAAGAACAACTAACAAATTAAACCGAGGATGTGTAAATTAACCTAGGAAAATTTGGAAACTATACGTGGGATTAGTTGCTGAAGAAATGTGGGGAAGGGTAATTTTTGAAGGGAAATATACAAAATACTCTAAGCTGCATACATTTGTTTGTAAATTGGGTGGACAAAAGGAAAATGCTCAGGAAAAATGGAATTACTGTTCTAACCCACAGTAACATTACAGAAACGTACATCTCACAAATATAACCAGGAAAAGATTAAGGAGCAGCATGTTAATGACAAGAATAAGGAAAATATAAAGCTAGGAAAGGCAATTTAGTATTACTTGTAGATATTTTATCAGATACATCATGAAGAAACAAAGGTATATTTTGGATGCCATGTCTCTTTCTATCTTTTTTTTTTTTTTCTGATTTTTATTATTATTATTATTTGTAAAGACATGCCAAAAATACTCATTTCAAACCATAAAAGATGGAAAAAAGACACTTACAAAAAGTGACTCAGCTACGTTTTACTTATGTTTGCATTCGATTAGGACTTGCACATGTTTATTTCATACTGAATATAAAACAATCAGGGTGCTCACAGAACTTGATGTATGTGATAAAATGTTATTTGCCATACCAAGCATGTACCAGTACACATGTACTTCTGTTTTGTGAAGGTCTTAGAGGCCGAGCATGTACATAGCGAAGTACAGCAAAAATGATGCATTGCAGGGTTAACTGACTTCACAGTCTTGAATCAAGAATTCAGCTTCAGCTTTGGTTAAGTACGGACCAAATCTGCAGTCCTTAATTTAACTAAATTTCCATTGCATTTTGTAGCTCTGTGTGCATATCTAGTAGGAAGACAGGCACTTGTCCCAGAAGTGATGCTTACAGATGCTTTTAGGACATTTGGTTCTATAAGGAATTTGAGTTTCAGCATGCTGTAATTTCTTTAATCAATATTTTTAAAAATCAGTATTTCTATAGTACAGTTGCATACTGTTTTCCTATGTTTCCTTCTTTCTGAACGGTGTTACCAAATGGAAAATTTGATAAGATGCACGCCCAAGTACTTCCAACGGGACCAACTGGTACACACTGTATGATCCATAATAACTTCATAACAACTGAACAAAAGAAAGTCAGGGCTTTTAGCCAACGGCACAAATGAAGCCGCTTTGATTAACAAATGTAACAAACAAAGCCTGTTTTAGTAGTGATGAAAGGAACTGTAACAGAGGTATGGGAGGGAAAAACAGAAATTAACGTGTAAAAACAGAAGGATTGCGGGTCATTGACCACATTTATCATTAAAATGATGTAATGACCACGGGGAAACAAAGCTGTTAAGAAGAAGGACATCCCCAGGGGGTCATGGGTACGTACCAGGGAAACCAGGGGTGGTCTGCCCAAGGGGAGTAAAGGGGGGATGCTGCATAGCCAACTGGTGAAGCTTGGTCAACTGCAGGGCAGGATGGGAAATTAGAACTAACCAATCAAATGGAATTATTTCAGAGCAGAGAAACCATCTTACATGTTCTAAAACTGGATTAATTAAAATTATATTAAAAAAAAGGTTTAATCATTCATTCTAATCTATTGTAGAGGAAAAAAAAAACAAAACCAAAACCAAACAGAACAACCCAGATTGGTTATAAATGACATCTCTACTGTTATTACATGTAATGGCTATTGTTAATATTAACTAATTACTGTAGAATTACATATTAAAAGAACTCAGATGTATCACATGCAAAAAAAGACCAAGATAACTGTCATTTGTTTCTGGGCCATTGTACTTTCTAGCAATTATTATTACACAAGTTGAGCTAACACTTGGCTACACAGTGTGTTGTTCAGGCAACGCGTCCTTAGGCCATGTCTTTACTGCTAACTGTAGAAAGCAAATGTTGCCCAGAACAAATAAGAGGGAGAGGAAGAAAAAGGGAGTAATTTACATGCACCGGACTCACGTCTGGATGAGGGATGGCATACTGCCCTTGAATCGTGAATGCCTGAAAACAAGAAGCACAGTTAAGACACAGGTCAGTCTGGTAGGACAAGCAGCATTGCTGTTCTCATCAGAAATGCTCCTCCTGGCTCCCCAGGAAAATGCCACCCACATCACTTTCAGTGCTGAGTGAAGCTTAATTGTCTTGTGCTGCTTGATAACGCTGGGCAGGGTGTGGAAGAAGTCTCTGTGGGGCTGCCCATGTACCCCTTGCAAGCAGGAGCTTGCAGCAGTGGGGTGGGATAAGGGAGGCAAAAAAAGCACATGAGTGAGGAGGGATATGGTGGCATGCCTGGCCCCTGTTGGCACAGCCCTTTCTTTCTCCTGTTGGCTCTATTTGACTTTATGTAATGGCTTATGAAGAAAGAACTATACAGAGTTTATAATTTTCTGCTATATCCTGGAGGGCTTTTCTGAAAAGAATGGCGTGTCAGAAAAATTTTAAAGTGCTTGTGCTTAGACAAGCAAGAAAGCAGAAGGAAAAATTATAATGTATAAATATTTGTAGTGGGAGAATTATAAACAGGAACAGAGCTGATTAGTTTAGTTGAGAAAATGCTTATTTGACAAAGGCCTCTTAGAAAGTAATAAATCCTCTGTAAATGATAAAATAATTCAGTTAATGGAATTAGAATACTAAAACCTTTAATGCCTCAACTGCTTGATGCACATTTCTGCAGCAGAATTTCCCTTCGAGAGAAAAAAAATTTCATGTAATTTTAAAATTTGTTATAGAGCAAGGCCACAGTCTGGCAAACAGTATGCACATGAGCAGTTCTCAGGCATAAAGGTGCACGACTGGGCTCACTGGGGTGTTCAAGAGGAAAGATACCCATGTGCATCAATGGGGCATGGCCATTACTGTCAGTTTAAAAGTGAGAAGGTTCCAGTCCACCACACCAGGTGATCACTGCCATCAGTGGGTCTTAAGCAAGCATGTATTCAAGCAATCAAAGCATGTGTTTAAGTGTCTTACCAAATGAGGACAGCCTTTAGGAGATGCTACGCTGCTTTTCCGAGTGTGGGCTCTGTGCAGAGCTAAGCACAGGAGCACCCTCAGGGAGGTGACACCTGGAAATGGCACCAGACACGGGCTTAAGCCCATGAGCAAACAGCAGGTTTGGAAACCCCACTTTGGTCTCTGAGCTGCTGTGCTGGCTCATGTATCTTTTCTGATCTCAGCCCAGCTGAGACAATATCTTTGGCATAGTTGCTTCTGAAGCAATGGTCTGCAAACCAGCAGGAAACCACCACAAAAAAAGAAGTCACCCCTTTCCTCATCACTCTGCTCCCTCACACTTCCATGTATACATGTGAGGAGGCAGACAATCTAGAGATCTAACAAACATAACGAACTTATCAGAACCCAGACCAGCTTTTCTTTGGCTGTCAATGGAAAACTGTCAAAGCAGCATGGACAAGATGGGTCTTGAATTTTCATTCCCAGTAAAAAGCTCTTCATTTCTTAAGCTCCCAAAAGGTCATTTGATTGAATTAGGTTGAGAAAATCTATCTTTGACTGCTTTACCCCTTGACAGAGGAACTGTGCATCTTCAATGGCTGAGGCATACTAAATAGATGCCTAGTGGAGGCTACTGAGACATCTGCATTGTATCATTTCACTATGGACACGAGCTTCAGGTGTGCTTCCATCAGACTGAAGGACAACCTTCCTACTGGT